AGTGTGAGGCTCACCAAGAACTATCGACCTGTGCGCTCTAATTAACGAAATCCTCGCCCGCGTCAACTGCTGTCTCTGGAAAAAAAATTAGCTCAGTGAGTAATAACACTTAACCACAACCGTTTTTATTTGGGGACAAGTCAGAAAACATTCTAGTATCTCAAACAGAAAATAACATAAAAATGCCCTTTCAGAAACTACAAATAATTTTCAGTCTCATCATGCTTTTCTTGTAGTATAATACAATTAACAATTCAGTAATAAGCTCGGTAACCACTGTATAATATCAATATTCACATTTTGGGAGGTTTCAATGAATGGATCATGTAATCGGTATAACTGTGGACTTCTTCGCAAGAACTCAAATATAACGGTAGTCCCTACTCGAGGAAAATCGGTAACGGTATGCTAGTTCTACCTTTCCACTAGCGAGGGCTATAACTGTACTCTGTAATCGGTAAATACAAGGTGCACCAGGTCTAACGAACCCGCCGTTAGCTACGGGATCCTTCAAAGTCTACTCCCATTTATACTTGTCTCTGTATTCCGTATATACTCATAGGAAAATATTTTAAAACAATATAGGGCATTTCGGTTCTTATCAAATTATGTAATTTCATTTCGATAACAGTAAATTCAAGTAACGGTAAAACGTATCTAGTGACATCAAGAATATTTAAAACAACGGTAATCATGTCAAATAACTATTTCGGTCTCATATCAAGTAAAAGACTTGTCCCACATGCAACTTAAAATAATCGGTAACATATTCATATTAAAAATCATGTGTAAATCATGCAAGTTATGAAAATACAAATTGCGGTAAGATTACTACTCACAATACTCGTGCCGAAATTCCAAATGCTTCACCTCGAGCAATTCGTACAACTTCCTCCAATTCAATCTATAATTACATAATACCAGTCTCATGTTAATTTCTATGTTTAGGCTAATTCATAGCTAATTTAGAATACCTAACCCCCGAGGTTCCATATTTGACTCTCAATTCGCCGAATTATATTTAGCCACATATGAGTAATTACTAATCTATCAACTCCAACCTATTCATATAATTTACCCAGAATAATTCTTATTGGTATTTAATTTCTTATATCTTGTGAAACCCTTAAAATATATGAACTGAGATAAAAAGAATTATCAGAAGAAAAGAACCTAGATGAAAAATTAGAGTATTACCCGTGAAAACCAGTGCGTATTTAAGTTTTCTCAAGGTTTGGTACCAGCCTTTTTCTTCTTCTTCTTCCTCTCCCCTTGAATTCCCTTTCTGTGTTTTCTGAAGCAGACCCGTTTCCCCCCTTTCTTTCTTTCGTTTGGTTTTTTTGTTTTGTTTCTGATTCGTTCCCCTTTATTTCACTTTTCTTTCTTTGTTTATTTGTGTTGTTTTCACAGAATGGGCTTCGACCCTTTATTGGATGCTTAATCTTTTTTTTTTGTTGGTTTATTATTATAATATAATTATTATTATTATTATTATTATTATTTGCTAATGACCAATACACTCTTATTAAAAAAATAGGGTATTACAAGACATTACCTCCTTTTAAGTCTTCAAGTGAATGGAACTGGTCCTTGCTCCCAGTCATATGTTTTGAGTAGCCACTATCCACATACCATATTTGGCTACTTCCTTTCACTTGGACCTGCAAAAAGAAATCAAGGGTTAGTCTTAGGAACCCAAACTAGTTTGGGTCCCTTTCTATAGGAAAAAGGATGAATCAAATTCCTTCTGCCCACCCAGGCAGCTTACTTTTTTCTTGAACAAAGGCTTTGTTCTTTTGACTAGCCTTTTCTTTTGCATTACATTCATTTCTGTAATGACCAGTCTTGCCACAGTGTGTGCAGATTTTATTCTCAGGAAGTGTGAGGTACTTGCTTTTAGGGTCCCACTTTGGTGCTTGAGTCCCATAGCCAAGTCCTCTTTTGTTGCTACTGTGATGATCTTGCAACCAAGAAAGTGCATCAGAAGCCTTGTTCCATTTGCAAGTTCTGTCTAGTTCATGTTTCACTTTTCCTAGATCTTCTTTTAGGACTTTAATCAATTCATCCTTCTTGTATAACTCATCCTTCATTTTTCTTAAGTTTTCCTCTAGAGTGAGATATGTGTGATCATCTTTCTTCTTTCCTCTTCCTAGTTTCAGTTTTAAGTTTTTAGACCTAAGTTCTAGGACACTGGTGTCAAGTTCAAGAACCTGGTTCTTCAACTCAGCATTTTTGCTATCACTCTCATTAGCCTTAGACTCTAGACTTTTGCATTTTGCTTTTAGGATCACACATTCCTAGACAGATCTTCCATCTCATTGTTAATTATCTTATACCCATCAATGAAGTCTAGTAATAACTCAGCCAGCCTTTCTTTAGACAGAAATTTAATCTTGTATTTGAGATGAAGAATACTTACCTCTTGTTCATCATCTGATTCTCCAATAGCCATAAGGGCCTGTTCATCTCCAGCTTCATCCTCTGAGTCCTCATCTGATGTTTCTCCCCAGGCAGCAACCATAGCCTTTGTGGATCCTTTGTTCCTTCTTGGTTGAACCTGTTCCTTCGTTCAGCCCTTTCTTTCTTCCAACCAATTTCCCATTGAGGGCAATTCTTGATCATGTGATCAGTCTTACCACACTTGTAGCAACCCTCATTGGTCTGTTTCTCAAGAGCCCTTGGTTTGTTGAAGGTTGTACCTCTTGAAGAACCCTTTCCTCTTATCAGGTACTTTTTGAAATCTCTTGTGATCATTGCCATTTCATCATCCTCCAGATCTGAACCTTCAGCAATTCTGAGAGCCAAACTTCTTTCCTTCTTGGGTGTATCCATCTTCATGGTTTGCCTTCTCAGTTCATAGGCAGTAAGATTTCCAATTAGTTCATCCAGCTTGAGTGTAGCAATATTCTTAGATTCCTGAATAGCAGTGATTTTGCTTTCCCATGAGACTGACAGAACTCTTGTCAAGATTTTCTCAACCTTGTCTTCTTCAAGAATAATCCTTCCAAGAGACTTAAGTTCATTTGTCAGTGTAGTAAACCTAGTATACATATCTTGGATAGTTTCTCCTTCCTTCATAGTGAAATTCTCATATTGAGAATACAACAGTGTTCCTCTAGACCTCTTCACTTGAGGTGTTCCTTCATGAGCCACTTGCAAAGTGTCCCAGATTTCCTTAGCAGTGGTACAACTTTGGATCCTGCTGTACTCATCTGGACCTAGTCCACACACAAGTCATTTCTTGGCCTTAGCATTTTTCTCCCACTTCTTCAGGTCTTCAGCAGTGCAGTAAACTCTTGTCTTTGGCACATCAACTCCTTCAGCATTCTTGTTTGTGGTTGCTAGAGGACCATCAGTGACTATATCCCAGAGTTCATAGTCTTCCCCTATGATGTGATCCCTCATCCTGTTCTTCCACCAAGAATAATACTGACCAATGAAGAGTGGAGGCCTAGCAGTGGATTGCCCTTCCCAGTTCCCAGGTGGTGCACTCATGTTGATCTTCTCCTAAGGTATTAGCCTCTTCAAGGATAACCTGGCTCTGATACCAATTGATGTTCTAAACGTCAATACCACACAAGAGGGGGGGTGATTTGTGTGGTACTCAATTTTCGATCTAGAAGAACCAGGTTCTTCTAAGTGATCTAACTACTACTGTTTGCGGAATTAAAAGTACATAAAATAAAGAACACAGAGAATTTTACGTGGAAAACACCTGGCTCAAAAGGTGAAAAAACCACGACCTACTACTTAGTAGGATTTTCCCAATCTTCCACTAAAATCACTAAGCCAAAATATCATTTACAAAAACTCTTTGTAAACCTAAGGATTAACTCTAATCCCTTTGTAGCAGACAGCCTCAACTGTTGCGACAACTTCAAGTTAGCCTATAACTTGAATACTCAAAGTACCTATTACAATTGCTTCTATAAAAGCTGAAAGGTACAACTTTAATCCACCTAGTACAATTGAACTAGAATAAGAAAAACCACAATAGAACTGGTTCTTCTATTTTGTTCAAGTAGCTTCAGGAGTGCACGCTTAACTCTCACATAAATTGCTTGCAAAATCGCCTTGCTCTTTTGCTCTCAATTTAGTTTTACTTCTGCGTATGTGCAACACCTGTAAAAGAGAACAATCACTGTTATTTAATGAGGTTGTAATTAGAGCTTGATTGAGACTCAATTGCTGATCTTCCATCGAAGTTGAGTCCTTGAACAACACAAACTCCAACCCTATCTTTTATCCAGATTGTATTCTCTTCTCATAAGGAGAATTTCTCTCCTTATCCCATATGCAACCTTTTCGATCAGTTCAGGAGATATTGCTGCTTGATCAATGGGACTTATCTCCTTCATGTGCATCTCACATGTATAGGTTGACAAACACTGTGCTTCACATGATGGACCTGGTCCATGACTGAGTTCATTTGTCACTCTTCAAAACTTCACCTGTTCTTAGGCCAACATATGCAATAAAGTAATTAATAATAAAATGAACCGTCTGGTAAATTGGATTACCAATGAATGTTGATTTGTTATTGAAAACGCTCATTGGTAATATTTATCACCGGATATGAGTACGTTAGATTTTTGTAATTTTTGTAACGGGTAGATTTTCACTGTGTAGCAACGGCTATGTTATTAACAAGAAATTAAAGAAAAGAGAAATTAATTGATAAAAGAAAACAGAATATTCATTTCAGATCATTTTCGGATACACTGTTTATTCTCTATATACTACTGTAACAAGCTGTCCCCAAGGACAATTCTCTAACAAACTCCCTAATGCTAAGACACGTATCCTGAATGAGCTGTATAGCCGTTTGGACTTGATTGGAATTGAAAGACAACTAAACCTAACAAATAAGGCCCAGAAACACTTAATAATTAAGACATTTACTCATCCGGCCCAACTGAGACTAGAACCCGACCCAATATCCTAATTAAGGTTACGAATTTCCCAATTCGTAACATTCCACTCCCCTTCAAGAAAAAGCTTCAATCTTTCACTGCAAAATTAGGAAACTGAGATTTGAGGAAGGAGAAATCCTCCCAAGTTGCTTCATATTTGGAAAGATCAGCCCACTGGAGTAAAACTTCAACAACTGCCTTGTTTCCTTTCTTCACTAATCTGCGCTCTAGAATTGCGATTGGTTCTGTAAGGATCTGCCCTTCATCGTTGCAATAAGGTGGATCTTGAGATGGAAACACGCCTGATCCCACCTTTTTCTTCAGTTGTGAAACATGGAAGACTGGATGAATTTTGGATCCAACAGGTAGCTCGAGTTCATATGCCACAGCCCCAATTCTACTAATTACTTTGTATTGTCCATAATACTTTACTGCGAGTTTCAAGTTCTTCCTAACCATCACTGAGATCTGACGGTAAGGTTGTAGTTTGAGAAATACGAAATCCCCTACTTCAAACACTCTGTCACTTCTTTTCTTATCTGCGAACTGTTTCATCCTATTTTTAGCCTTGTGCAAATTGTCTTGTAGGATTTTGCTCACCAGTTGCCTATTTTTGAACAACTAATGTACAACTTCCAATTTGGTCTGAGCCACGAGCTCAAATATGGGTTGAGGAGGGTCATATCCATAGAGTGCCTTGAAGGGAGACATACCAATGGCAGAACGATGAGTCGTGTTAAACCAGAACTCAGCCAATAGAATCCACTTGTTCCATTCTTTTGGTTTATGGCCCGTCATGCATCATAAATACGTCTCCAAGCATCTATTTAGTCTTTTGGATTGCCCATCCATTTGAGGATGGTAAGCTGTACTTAGCTTTTGCTGCACTTGTAGTCCTTTGAGTAGCTCCTTCCAAAAATTGCTGACAAAAATGGGATCTCTATCTGATACCACAGAACAAGGAGCTCCATGTAGTTTAAACACATTGTCTAGGAATAGCTGAGCTACTTGAATTGCATTGTAGGGATGTGATAGTGTGATGAAATGAGCATACTTAGTGTACTTGTCTACTACCACTAGAATGGTGTCCTTTCCCTGTAATTTTGGAAGCACATCGATAAAATCCATAGTCACATGCTCCTAGGCTTTTGTAGGGATTGGCCGCGGTTGTAGGAGACCTGGGTATGGGATACTTTCCCCCTTGTTCCTTTGGCATATTTCACAAGACCGAACAACTTCTTTCATATCACTCAATAGACTTGGCCAATAAAACAAGGATCTCAACCTTTATTGAGTAGGAAATATACCTGAATGCCCTCCCCAAGGTGTTGTATGCATTTCTTGAATCAACTTTCCACTTAGCTGCCCATGATTTCCTACCCAAACTTGACCTCCTTTGCGTAAGATACCATGCTGAAAGATGACATTATCTCTTGATGTTGGGTAAATGCTCAGCTGTATTATTAATTATTGCGCCCTAGTATCATCAATATAGTTTTCCATGATCTCTTGAGCCCATTTGGGTTGGACAGTTGAGAGTCCAATGGCACTCTCCAGACACCTCTTTTTTGCGGGACAGAGCATCTGCTACCACATTTTCTGTCCGTTGTCTGTATTGTATCTTATAATCAAGCCCCATGAGTTTATGTACTCCCTTGTGCTGCAGTGAAGTAGTGACCCTTTGATCTTAAAGGAACTTCAAACTAAAATGATCTGTGCGAATTAGAAACTTGTTAGGTTGCAAATAATGCCTCCACTTTTCAACTACAATCAGCAAGGCCACTAACTCCTTCTCATATGTTGACAAGCCCAGATTTTTTGGGCTTAAGGCTTGGCTCAAGTATGCCAAATGTCTTCCATTTTGCGTCAGGACTGCTGCCACGCCTACTCCACTAGCATCCACTTCCACAGTAAAAGGTTTGGAGAAATTGGGCAATCCTAACATAGGGGCCTTTACCATTTCCTCCTTCAATTCCTCAAAAGTTTTTGTGGCTTATTCATTCCATTGAAAACCCGCTTTTCGAGCAGTAGTGTTACGGGTCTACTAATTACTGCATAATTTTTAAAAAAACATCTGTAGTAACCAGTTAAACCAAGAAATCCCCTTAACACTTTAATGTTCACTGGTTGAGGCCATGATAACATAGCTTTTACTTTAGCAATGTCAGTGCTAACTCCATGTCCTGACACAACATGACCCAAATACTCTACTTGTGATTGTGCAAAGCTGCACTTCGATCTTTTGGCAAAAAACATATTTGCCTTCAGTAGTTCAAACACCTCTCTTAGATGATGAATGTGATCTTGGATGTTCTTGCTATAGACCAAAATATCATCAAAAAACACAAGGACAAATTTCCTTAAGAATGGCTCGAAAATTTCATGCATGAGTGCTTGAAAAGTAGCGGGTGCATTTGTAAGCCCAAAGGGCATTACCCTAAACTCCCATAGCCCATGATGCGTTTTGGAAGCAGTTTTGTACTCATCCCCTTTTTTCATCCTAATTTGATGATATGCCGACCATAAATCTAATTTAGAAAATAATTTGGCCCCTTGCAATTCATCTAACAAGTCTTCCACCACCGGAATTGGGTACTTGTTTTTTACAGTAATATCGTTCAATTTACGATAATCAACACAAAACCTCCATGATGAGTCTTTTTTCTTGATCAATATCACAGGTGATGCAAAAGGTGATGTACTATTAGCAATTACTTGGGCTACTAACGTCTCCTTGACCATCCTTTCAATAATATTTTTCTGCTCATAAGAGTACCTATAGGGTCATTGGTTAACGGGCTTGGACCCTGGTATCACTTTAATGGCATGGTCACATTTCCTGTTTGGAGGAAGCCCTGATGGTTCTTGAAAAAGTCCTGAATACTCTTGGATCAGTGAATAGATTGGCTTGGGAACATCTTCCTCTTTTGGATCATCTACTGATAATAATTGGGCTGATAACACACATTGACCCATTTTTCAGCAATTTTTCAATAGTCCTGACATCCTTAGCCTCAATTGGGCCCATCTCAACACTGCTCACCAATGTAATAAGCTTATCACCTTTGAAAATAGACACACTATGGGGGCGAGTGTGTAGCACAATTGGGGCCACAGTGTTAATCCAATCCATTCCTAGGATTATATCATTTCCTCCTGCCCTCAACAAGCCCAAATTAAATTCGAAAACATCTCCTACCATAGTCCACGAGTAAGCTGGATAACTATGTGAGCAGGGCATTATCTTCCCATTAGCAACTTGCACCCTCATGGGCCGGCGGTACGGTTACCCTTTAAGTTCAAGATTTTAATAATTTATGGGTAAATAAAGATTTGGGTTGATCCACTACCTATTAAAACCATCACTTGTTGCTTTTTGGCCCACCCTTTAATCCTGATAGTCTTGGGTGAGTGATTCAAGCCCATTAATACATTTAATGATACTTCTCCTTGTTCTACCACCTCTCCTTCAATCATTTCATTCACTAGCTCCTCATCAGAAGCTTCTACAAATTGCTCATCTCCTTCAAGTGCATTAAAAGTGTGATTCTTACACTGGTGTTCCTGTGTCCATTTTTCATGACAACGAAAACATAAGTTCCTCTCCCGTAATGCTTCCATGGTGGGTTTTTTTTGGTAATGGTGGTTTTGTGGAAGTTAAGGCTCCTGCCACATTTTTGGTTGCTGGAAAAGGAGTTTGATTTCTGGGATAAGAGAAAGGGCTTGGTTTAATGGGCCTGGTGTGTTTTGTTTAGCGGCCGCATTTAAAGCTTGTTCATACAGCTTAGCCATATTGTATGCAGCTACCAGTGTTCTGGGTTTGCAACCTTCACCACTGAGCCTATTTCCTCCTTCAGGCCCCAAATAAAATATTGCACAAAGTATAATTCATCGAACTGAGGCCTCACTACTTGGACTCTGCAGCGCAAGTCTTCAAATCTTGATTGATACCTCAGCATATCAGCCCACTGTTGTAGCCGATTAAATATAGTAACCACATCAAGAGGCCCTGTTCCATCATATCTTTCGCATAAGTCATAACAAAACTGTATCCATTAAACCTCCCCCATGGTCTATTACATAAGAATCAAACCAACTGTCCAAGCTGTCCTTGACCGTGATAGCCACACAAATTATTTTTTCTTCTTCAGTAACACGATAGTAGTCAAAATAATATTCACACCTACGTATCCACCCCTAACATTGGTCTCATCAAATTTAGGGAACAAAATTTTGGCTTTTACATGACGAAGATTATGTGGGGAATTTTCTGGAAGAGTGGAAAAGGTGGGTAAAGCCATATCCGAATAAGGTGGTAACTGGTTCATGGATGAATGAATTTGTGATATAACAGGATGGGGTGGATTAGATTTGTAGGGGCGTATTTGGGCTGCAGGATCTTGGGGTCCATAATATGGTGTTTCGGTTGTATTGGGAAAAACTTCCATTTGGACCACATTTGAAGGTTGGGTTTCTGTTATTGAGATAGGAATGTACATTCCAGACGTTAGTGGGCTTTGGGAAGAGGAAACATGGGTTGGGGTGAAAGTCCTGCTAAGGGCAGATAGTGAAGAAAAGGGTTGGATGAACTAATAGACGCAAGTATGGTGGAGTTAATAGTAGAGCTATAAGTGTGAGAGAAGTGGGGGTTCATTGGGGGCAAAGCTAGGGGTTCACTCAATATTGGTGCAAAACGAGTGTGAGAAAAACTAGTGTTTGGGTAAGGTGAGTTCTAAATTTCTGCTTACATGGAGATTTCCTTGATTTTCAGCTATGGGGGTAGGAAACATAAGGGTTACCGGCGATGAAGTTGGCCGGAATCCTCCGCCCACCGATGACTGTCCTGTTTCTGTGTAATTACTACCTCCCGCCATCGCCTTTCGAGTTTCATCCTTCTTCTGCACATCTATTACCCAGTTCTCTATCCTTTGGTTCGATTCAAGATTTCTTTTCTGCATCTCTTCTATCTGCTCATATGCTTGGTAGAGGTGACAATAAAAGATTGCAGTTGTTGCTCCAAGTCTACAAGGCTTTCACTGCTACTGACCTCACGAGGAGGATCCACCATTGTTGTCAGGGTTCACGCTCTGACACCAAATTGTAGCAACGACTACTTTAATAATAGGAAATTAAAGAAAAGAGAAACTAATTGATAAAAGAAAATAGAATATTCATTTCAGATAATTTTCGGATACATTGTTCATTCTCTATATACTACTGTAACCAGCTGTCCCCAAGGACAATTCTCTAACAAACTCCCTAATGCTAAGACACGTGTCCTGAATGAGCTGTATAGCCGTTTGGACTTTATTGGAATTAAAAGACAACTAGACCTAACAAATAAGGCCAAGAACAACTTAATAATTAAGACATCTACTTATCCGGCCCAACTAAGACTGGAACCCAGCCCAATATCCTAATTAAGGTTACGAATTTCCCAATTCGTAACACACTGGTAAATTTACAAATAGAATCTCAGTCATTGATGATATTCCTTCAGCTATGGTGATGGTGCACTACTGGAAAATGAGCCTATGGCAACAGCCGAAAAACCGTTGCAACAGACAGGTAAACCGTTGCCATAGAGTTATTGGAACGGTTTAGCGACCGTTACATACGCAGGCGTGCCAATAGATCTAGAGTAACGGTTCGTCCAACGGTTATCAAAACTGTTGCTAGAGGGCTATCTATCGCAACGGTTTTTCCTCTGTCTGAAGCAACGAGTATTATTCCCAGTCGCAACAGTTAAAAATCATTACCATTGAGTTTAAAACGCTTGAAAATTGTTACCATATTATTTACTACAACGGTGAGAAACCGTTACCATATCATTTATTGCAAAGTTTATTTACAAATATTCTAACGGTTTCATTACGCTAATGTAACGGTTTTATTCCTATTGCAACAGTTTTAACTACCAATTGTATCAGTTTGTCGCACATTTTGGAACGATTTGCAAGACCTATTGGAATGGTTTGCAAGATTATTGCAACAGTTTTATTAGACTATTATGCCCCGGTTGTAAATGAATATTTACATATATAAAAATTTGTAATAACCTGAAATTTATATAAATAAAATGATAAAACACTTCATAATCTATATCGTCCAATAAGCTAATATATCTATAAAACCAAAATGTTTTAACCCAATCACATAAGGTATACATTTCAACACTTCAAGAGTTAGAGTAATTTCAAATGTTAATAACAAAAGATTCCTAGAACATGGACAACAATTCAAAGTTCTTAAGTAAGGTCTAGATCTTCACAAGCTCCATCTTCCCCTTCTTCAATTGCTCGACCTACAAAAGACGATAAATAAAGTCATTATCCTTCAAGGGTTGGTTTACTGACTCAGGTTCACTTTCAGGTAGAGCTCAAGCCCATTTGGAACCCTAATCTCCTATCAATACAAAAGCATCCTCAGAACAAAATTAACTTAGGTAACACAACAACAACCGCAGCAGCTTCATCAATAGATGTCAAGTGATAATAATCCAAGAACTGGAAATTTACAAAGTAAACTAGTTTCCCTAGACTTCCAAGTTTCACCAGCAAGATTAGTCTCAAAATAATCACCACCCAAAACAAGCTGCTAACAACTACCCTTGCATTTAACATCCTAACACCCTATTAGAGCAAACATAACGTAAATAACTTCTAATCTTCAAGAGGCTATATAACTAAACATAAAGTAGGAAAGCAGGATGCCAAAACATTATAGTCATAAACAACAACAACAACAACAACAACAACAACAACAACAATAAACCTAGTGTAGTCCCATAAGTGGGGTCTGGGAGGGTAGTGTTTACGTAGACCTTACCCCTATCTTATAAAAGTAGAGAGGTTATTTCTGATAGACCCTCGGCTCAAGAAACAGTGAAAATAAAGCAACAAACACTGTAGTCATACACCAAACTCTAATTTTGCGAAGAGTAGGTCTAAGAGGAGCATTATACATGCTCAGTTCACAACTTCACATCAATGTATATAAAAACTACAACTAATTGGTTACTTGAAACAAGAGGTCGCAAAAACACTAAGGAATCAAATAGTAGATATGTCATAGGGTACATATGGTACAACAGACAATTTTTTTGGGTTTACCTGCTACAGTTGAGTGGAAAAAGTTGACCACTTACTAGTAAGAATAAGTCTTAACCTAAGATAGAATCATGAATTACTAGTAAGAATTAAGAAATGATTGGGTCTGCAGTACTTTTTACAAAGAGCACTTCACTTTATCCATAGTCGGATAGTCCTGCTGCCATTATAAGTAAAGGATATCTTTTTTCCCTATTTTCCCCATACATCATTAACACATATCTGGGGAAGAATAAGTAAAACAATTCCCAGAATCATCCAATGCATGGAAAACAATCTTGGTTTAGATTCTGGTGAGTATTTACAGAATGGGGTCTGAGGGAAATATTGGTAAAACTGAAATCTTTAAAGGTACGACTAAACTTTCCTGAACTATTCACCTTCAACATAACAAAATCTCTCTGAAAATTACACACCTTCACAACATAAATTGCCCATACAATCAAGAATCTAAGTAAAAGAGCCATTGTCAATAGCTTAAACCACTATTAAACCTTGGGATTGTCAATAGCTTTAGATTCTGGTGAGTATTTACAGAATGGTGTCTGAGAGAAATATTGGTAAAGCTGAAATCTTTAAAGGTAGGACTAAACTTACCTGAACTATTCACCTTCAACGGAACAAAGTCTCTCTGAAAACTACCCACCTTCACACCATAAATTGCCCATACAATCAAGAATCTAAGTAAAAGAGCCATTGTCAATAGCTTAAACCAACATTGAACCTTGGGATTATACAAAGTTGAGAAGATTAATGAACATTAGCAAAGCTAATTTGAGATAAAATAGACAACTCTGAATCATCCATTTATTATATACGCACAGAAAGATTCTTTCCAAAATGAGATAATCAAGAACAGTCAACTCCGAATCATCCATTTATTAATCACAAAACAGTCAACTCTGAATCATCCATTTATTATATACGCACAGCAGAAAGATTCTTTCCAAAATAAGATAATCAAATATATAGTGGGGGGGGGGGGGGGGGGGGGAGGGACGAAGCTGGCAGAAAACTAGACACTTTGTTGATTAACATATATAAGTTAGACGAAGAAATAACCTTAAAGAGAGAGTAATAAGTTCAAGTGTAACCTTAGAAAAGAAGCAGAAGGACGAGAAGAAGAAAGAAAAGAAGGGGTGTAATATTTGGAGTACGTACTGGCCTTGATTATTACTCCCAGTAAATAGATGATTGATTAGTTGCACAGCAGCTTGTTGTGCAGAGGAAGGCTTCTCCAGGTGAACGAGCATTGAAAGCTAGCATGCTGGGATCAACCCGTAAATCTGGATTCAGATGCTTAAGTTGTGAAATCTTTACTTTATTAATAGTTTTAACCAGTTGTACACTACTAGAAATCTGGTAATTAGCGACCACAAAAATCGACCAACATTGATCGATTTAGGCAAATTACCGACCAAAACACGTCCAAACAGGCTTGGTCGCTATTTTGGTGGTCGCTTTAGTATACCGACCAAGGTTGGTCGTTAATTACCGACCAAGGTTGGTCGCAAAGGTAAAAGGACAAACTGTACAATTTAAAGCAAATACCGATCAACTTTGGCCAGTAACATATTTTAATAATTTAATTTTACCGACCAAAGTTGGTCGGTGTATTTAAATTACGTTATTTTATTAATTATTAAAATTTAAAAATTAGCGACCAAAGTTAGTCGGTAAAGTAAAATATATATTTTTTTTAAAAAAATTAAAATTTAACCATACCGACCAAAGTTGGTCGGTAAAGTTGAAATCTGGGTAATCTTTGTTCATTAACCGACCAACTTTGGTCACTAATTTTTAATTTTTTTTAAACTTTAGCGACCAACCTTGATCGCTAATCAGCAGAAAATTATTTTTTTAATTAGAAACCGACCAACTTTGGTCGATTTTCTAGGTTTTAATTTTGGCATAAAATGCCTGTTTTGGCAATTACACCACCTGCCAACATACTAAAATCCCTAAATAACAACACAACAACAACAACACAATTCAATAAATACATTAAAACTAACAAATTAAAGTTCAATAGGACTAAAAATCCAAAACCAAGTTAAAACTTATTACAACTAGTTCAAAACTGGTTCTATTTGTCTAGTTCAAAGTATATAAAAGTTAAGGAGTGTTTTGTACAACATCATCATCATTGTCTGATGAACTTTCATCTAAAAGACGGTGTCGAGAAGGGTCTTGTGGAGGACGCGAAGAACAACCACGGGGAGGACGGGAGGAACGATCACGGGGAGGACGGAAGGAACGCTCACGTTCAAGTCGAGCCTCTGGCGATGACTTACGAGACCGGGGCAACGGAAAAGCTCCAGTAGATAGGACAGTTCTGATTTGAGCTTGCATGCCAAGGAATTGAGCATCTCTAACCCTTTCTCTTTCCTTGGCCGCTTCTAGCTTGGATGTGAGCTTTGTCACAGTCTCCCGCATAGTGGAGAGGCTCTCCCCATTAAGTTGCTCGCCTTGCGAGGAAGTCCCTATTCTTTGCATTCCACACTTATAGTAATGGAACTTTTTAGTAGGAAGCCTGTATACCTTTTCCCATTTTGGACTGCCAGCAGACTCCATCCATATTCTTTCATCATCTTAGTCCGAATGTTGGGTTGGCTCGCCCGATTCACCAGCTGGCTGAGTGCGGATGAATTCCTCCACATTAGTTTGGTAGCGACCCTATACGAAAATTTAAATTGAATTAGTATTTCAAAATTTATATAAAAGTAAATTAAAATACTTAAAGAAAAGTGAAAGCTTACATATACAGTCGAGGTCCGGTTCTTGACCCACCTTTCTTGATCCGTCTCTTTCTTCTTCTTTACAATATGCGTCTCCTTGAATAGCTCATCATGGTTCATTGGACACCCCAACTTCTTTTCCTAAAACCAAATTAATTTAGTTAATAAACAGAATAGATATACTTTGAAAATTAAAATAATTTAACCAATTACGTACCATTCTTCTTTTTATTGTCCCTAGGCTGATCGCACCTCCAGTGTGCAATGAGCCTCCCTTCTCAAATGCGTGAGCTTTCTTTCCTTTTTCGCTCTTCTATATATAATTTATCATCAAATATATCTGTTTGTAAATTGATTCATCGACTTATAACTTACTTAGATGCATCGTTGAATATTAAAAACAAAACGTCTGACCTATATTTATATCTATAGAGATAAGGGCCGAGTTCTTTTAGGGATTGATAGACTTGTGAAGATCCTAATTAGTATATATAATTTATCATCAAATATATTTATTTGTAAATTGATTCATCGACTTATAACTTACTTAGATGCATCGTATTGAATATTAAAAGCAATATATATATATATATATATATATATATATATATATATATATATATATATATATATATATATATAAAACACGCTTCGTTGTACTACTTTAACTACATATATAGCATGTTATAGTATATGTTAGTGTATTCATCCCTGGTATTACAAAAGTGTTAACGGATCACATTAAATATTATTTAGATAGTAAATATAAAAGTAATTTAAATTTTGACCAATGTTGACCTAATAACCGACCAACTTTGGTCGGTTATTTTCCAGAAATTAAAGTATAGCAACCAAAGCTGATCCGTAAATGCTTCCCTGTATTAACCGACCAACTTTGGTCGGTAATTTTAAATAAATTTTTTTTGTATTTTATGAAATATTTTAAATAATAATATAACTATTAAAATTTTATAACTGGATCCCACATTACCGACCAAAGTTGGTCGGTAATGTGAAATTTTCTTTGACTAAACAAGTCTGACCAGCTCGGTCAACTTGTTGACCATTTTACCGACCAACTTTGGTCGGTAATTTATTTAAAATAAATATAAAATATTTTTCTCCCCTTTACCGACCAATTTTGGTCGCTTTTTTTGACCGACCAATTTTGATCGCAAAATTTTGGTTGCTAATTACTGGATTTCTAGTAGTTTTAGCAGGTTAGTCCATTGTTACTAGATTACCAATTTTTGCTTATCAAGAGATTTACTTATAATTATTAAATAAATATTTTAGTTGTATAAATATTTTTTGCACCGTCAATGCATAGAACGTAAACTCTTTAAGAATACTTATTTGCCCTTACCAGAGGGGAATTTGTTTGGCCAACGTCCAAAATTCGAGTTAAATTAACCTTTCCTCTTATCTCAGGGTAAGGCAAGAATCATTTCAAATGTTCATTCGTTGTTCAATATCTCGAGCCCACGTGATCATCCAGAGTGGCCCATGGCTTTATTAAGTTATTTAGGTTCCCAAATTTGGAGGCAACTATTGCTTCACGAGGAATGTGGGTCAGTTTGCACATTGTTACACAAGTATTTCATTAGTAGTAAAATAAAAAGTTAAAATTAACCTATTTTAAAATATGATTATTTTTAATAAAATAATAAAAAATAATATCACGCAAACGTAAATGGAGAAAGTAGTGTATAGTCTCTAGTGCAGAAAGAAGTCATTATTCATAGGTTGCAAATGACAAAAATACTAGGAGCCCCGCATTTTTTTTAGATTACCTTTACCCAGGCGTAACACAAGGACTGCCACCGCGCTGAAAAATAGAAAATGAAAGGGCTGACTGGTTCAAAATAAGAAATTAAATGATATTTAAAGGGATAAAAAGGTATTAAAAAAAAATTTTTGCTCACTACTAGAAATCCGGTAAAAAGCGACCACAAAAAGCGACCAAAGTTGGTCGCTTATAGGCCCAAAAGCGACCAAAAAGCGACCAAACATGCCCGGTCGCTATATTGATGGTCTCTTTTATTTAGGGACCAAACTTGGTCGCTAATTAGCGACCAACATTGGTCTCTAAGCTAAATGGACCAAATATTCCGGATATTAACTATAGAGACCAACTTTGGTCGCTTTATTAATTTAATAATATAAATTTGGCGACCAAAGTTGGTCTCAAAATATAGAATACTTTATTTATTTATTTATTATTAATCATTAAGAAGCGACCAACTTTGGTCTCTAACCCAAATATTATATTTTAAAATCTGGAAACTAGAGACCAAGGTTGGTCGCTTTTTTATTCAATAATTTATATATTTTATTAAACTAGCGACCAACTTTGGTCCCTAAATACATGAATTTAATTTATTTTTTGTACTTTAGCGACCAACGTTGGTCGCTATATCACCAGAAATTTTATTTTTATAACGAAATAGCGACCAAGTTTGGTCACTTTTTGTAGAAATCTGGGTAAGTAGCGACCAACGTTGGTCGCTATTCTCCAGAAATTTATTTTTTTTGAACGTGAAAAGCGACCAAATAGAGACCAATGTTGGTCGCTTTTCTGTGTATTATTTTGGCAGAAACTGCCTGTTTTGGAGCTACACCACCTGCCAGTCATACCAAAACCCTAACAAGCAACAACAACAACAATTCAAACAACAATTCCAATAAGAATACCAAACAACAACCCAACAACAACAACAACAACATTAAAAGCTACATTAAAACCAAGAAAGTGTAAATTTCAATAGAACTACCAAACTAAGTTAACTCTTATTACAACCCAATGGAAAACAAATTGTATTTGTCTAGTTCAAATTGTCTAAAATTCATTGATTGTTTGGTACATCATCATCATCACCCTCTGATGAAGTTTCATCATCATCACGGTATTGAGAAGGGTCTATTTGTCGATGATGGGAAGAATGATCACGGGGAGGACGGGAGGAACGGCCACTTGGAGGACGGGACGAACGAGCACGGGGACGGGCAGCCTGTGGCGATGATGGCCGAGACCGGGGAATCGAAAAAGATCCAGCTAGGAGATTTTTGATCTGCTCTTGCATGCCCTGGCACTGAGCGACCACGCCAATGTACTGAGCATCTCTAA